TTACATTTCAAAATTATAAATGCCTATATCCGTCTTTAAAGGTGCATTGAATTGTAGTATATAACAATTAGAAGACAATGCATTGAATACTATTTGCGGCATATTTTGTTATCAAAAATATATGTTATATGTTAGAAAATATCCTAAATATATATTATATGTCAATATATGATTTATTATGATTAATAGAGTTATGATTTATTTATGATTAATAGATTTTTATATCATATTATCATATGTATTATTACATATTTTATATATCATATATAATGTTATATAATATAACACATGTATTATACTATATTTTACGAGAAAAATGACAAATTAGTACAAGAAATAAAAGTAGATCAAAAATAGTTGGCGTATTACGAGAAAGTTGCTCTTCATTTTCTTATGATTGCTTTTTACTGTTGTATTTTTGGCAATGATTACGCTTTCAATTGAAGGATTGAAGAAATTTATTATTATTTGAGAAGATCTTAATTAAAACGCGAATTAATTCATATTCGTCAAAGTAATCAGTGTGTTTAATTTTCAAACTCTCGACAGCAATAATGGAATCCTTAACGAATTGCAATTTTAATTACTCGAACATTAAGAGGGTTCCATAAAAATTATTACCCGTTAAGCATTCGAGTGAGAGATTTCTTGATTGTGAGTAGTGCCTACACGTGCCATTAAAAATGAATAACGACGAATACATTTGTCTTGGAAATTGTGGAAGATTGGCTCGCATAAAAATTTCGGGTATGGTGGAAAGGAAATTTTGAGAGAGTGCAATGAGATCTCTGTTCAAAAGATTATTTTTTTGTATATTACTGTTTATAACAGCGTTATCGAATTAATCAATGTTCAGTGTCACAATCAATAATTATTATAGATAATAAGAATATTAATTTTACTTAATTAACAAACCTAGTTTTTTTGTGTAAGAAATGATGAATCAAATAACAGCAAAATTTAAAATCGCAAAAGATTCGTGAAAATGAGTAAATTAACATTGATACATTAGTATCGGGATGAATTTCGAGGAATAAAGTTATGCTCAAAATAAAATGCTACAATAGTACATAGTGTAACAAATTAATATAAATTAAATTTTATATACATCGTTCATTATTCGAATTTGTTTTACGATTTTAAGTTCCATTTTAAATAGATTTAGTTTATTACTTGTTATACAAAAAACTATGTGCATTCAATAAATAAAGTTTATGTTTCTGCTGGAACGATTGTTTCAATTCATTAAAAGAACAATTAATTCAATAAGAATTATTGTTATTATAGATTATTATAAACAAATATATATAGAACACTGTGGTGTCCGATTATTAATAAGAGTCATTGTATATTAAAGTTCCAGATAGAATTCTTTGGATTTCTATGGTAATTTTTTCACATACAGTGAGTCACAGGAATATTCGTACATTTCCAATTGTTAACTTTGAACTATTTATTTTACTTTACAAGTTTCGAAATTCTTATCAATGATGACGAATTTTGAAATGAATAAAATTAATTAATTAGGTTGTCGTTGATAACAATTTTGAAACTTGTACATTATCTAAAAGGTGATACGAATACTTCTGTGGCTCACATCTATCTGATTCCATTGTGTGTTAATTATAAAACATTCCTCTACAATTAATAAATATCTTTAGTACCAAGTACAAATACAAAACTATCTAAATTAACTAAGAACAGAAGGAAACTAAATTAAAAAGTTAAACAAAGACTGAAAGAATTCAGTAGGTATCAAATGAACGCGAAACACGTTTAGCAAAGGTGAAACCTCTTGCATCGGGCACTCGCCTGCAGAGGAAAGGAACGTGAAATCGAGAAGATCCATCGTTGCTTCCGGCGCGCGCTCAGGCGCATGGAAATCGCGAAGCGGGGGTGGAAGCGACAGGGGGTGTGCGGGGGATCGATGGACGAGCCAACGTGCACCGAAGACCGCCTTCTCGTTCTTCCGTCGATTTTTTTCTTTTTTTTTTTTTCTTCGTTCATCCCATTCCTTCTCTCTTCCGTTCCACGTCTCCATCCCCTTCGGGCAACCCTCTTGCTCCCACGCTACACCTGTCGTGCCGCTGCGCGCTGCTCGAAGAGCCGGTAGTAAAGTTCTAGTCGGCGGACGAGTACGCTTACTCTACACTGGCCTCGTGGCTTCACAGCCGCGATAAATCCGTTTATCTTGAGTCTTTTGTTTCGATGAGTACTAGTTGGATCTTTTAACTTCGGTACGTATGGTCTCGTGTCCTTTCAAGGGGGAAGATCGTCGTTGTATCTGGGAATAGATTGATTAGGAATGGGGACTGGATATTGTTGATTTGTAAATTGGATGACAGAAATTGGGATATACTGTGTAAAAATCTTGGAGCATGTATTATTATAAAAATCAAATATTGTTATCATCTATAATGCTGATATTAAATAATTAACAATAGACATAGATACACAATTACTATAAAAGGTGTCATAAACTGTCATTATTTATTGTATTATTATATAAGTACCCAGTAAAAGTCAAATTCATATGTTCGTCTCGTCATTTTATATTTATACCTTTATGATCAATTCATTCATTTTATATTATATCCAAGCATAATTAAGCAATTGGAAATGGCCTCACAAACGATCCATAGTACTTCAAATCAATCGATCATTTTTATAGAGTTACCTTTTCTGTTAAAAATGTTACAAAAAAAAAAAAAAAAAGCAAAGAATCTGCTGAATCTTCCTCCCACTTTGCTAGTTGAACTAAACGCGCCAGTCCGAGGGTCCTTCCAATCGAGAGCACCCTGCTTCTAATCACGTCTCATCTTCGCGAGTCCTCTCTTTCTCGGCGGGCTTTCGATTTCGCGTGTACCCGTTATTAAGCGGCCAGGTCGTACGTTAACGGTCCCAGGGAATCGAAGGTGCTAATCTAATCTGTCTGGCCGATTAAAGGCCGGCGGTGAGTTCCGTGAGGGCCAACGCACGAAACTCTCTCGTCTACCTTTGGTCCACTTGCGCGTAATTAACCATCTCCCTCCTTCCATCTGCGCCGTGAAGGTTGCCACGTTTTTGAAGCCTCACCGGGACATTCCTAATTACCATGGGGGCAACGAATCGGTGCGCGTCAGCGGTGGTCTTTTTTCGTTTGTTTGCAGCTGACAATGGGAGAATCGGAGGAAGGAAAGGCCGGATCGCGAGGATCGTGCAACCTTCCACCTTTTCGGCTCTTCTTCCTTGCGCGTACTTATACTCGTTCGTTTTGCTCTCGTTGCTCGTGCTCGCGTTCACGTTGGTTCGTGGCACGAGGATTGGTAGGCGTGCGCGTGCACGCCCGCGAGATCCCTGATAAACGAGCCGGCGTCCCTCGTTTCAAGAGGATTTCTTTCCTTCGCAGAAAACGAGGTCGAGCGTTCGAGGTCGTAGGCGGGGTCGGTGGTTTTTCGTTTTTCTTCTCGGGCTTTGCGTGGATCGCTGCGAGATGCCACGCGGGAACACGAGCCTCGAGTTTAACGACCAGGGAACGCGTGAACGATCGTGACTTTTTGTGAAGTACGTGATACTTTGTCAATGAGCGTGATCAGACGAATGAAATTTTTTTTTTAAGCGTTTCGCTATTTTATTGGAAAACAATGATCAGAGACTTCTTGAGGCTTCTTGATAGAAGAACAAATTATCAAGTAATGTTAGTTTGTCGTCCCCGATGAGATTATTTATAAGTTGGCAAAATGTAAAAATATCTCTTTCGAAAAAGCTTGAGAAACCGATACATGCGCGATATTGGGAAAGATGAAATTTTTTGTATCAATTCTCTTCGAAATACGATCTATCTAAACTACGAAAGATTGAAATTTATATTTCATTAATAATTAAATATTCCATCGTAAAGAAATTCGTAGATTATATACGATCAACATCGAAAAAGAAACTCTAGTTCCTTGCTAGACTTATCATTAGTACGAATCGAAGTTTCAAATCGCGAGTACCAAAGTTAAGAATATCTATTTTCGATTTGATAAACTTCATCGAATATAAAGAAACGTTAATATCCAATCCTATATGTTTACTGCAACGCATCAACCTCGCATGGATCCCCTATTTATTGACCCACGTCCATTAAACCATTTGGAACAGGTGGCAGAGCAAGGTAGAACGCAGAAACAAATGATTTCGATAGGTATTTATTTTCATAATGATGAGTGTTCTTTATAATCGATCTATAATATCATACATCATAGCATTCCGTTTATACATAATTACAATTGTAAATTCTGGTTCGCCCTTTACGATGTGTAATTAGTGGGTTCGTCGTGTGTCGCGAGCTGCCATCGTCACTTTCCACTCATTTCTTTTTTCTTTTTTTATTTCTCGATTCACGCCGGCATCGATTCCCCGGCCGAGAAACGTGAAAAATCGTTCGGGCGCAGGCGCGTACAAAAAAAGAACCTGTTTCCGACCCTCCATTTGTCGCCGATTCGCACGCAGATCCTGTGGCTGTGACGCGTGCACAGACTACGAAAATAAAGCATACAATGTATGTACAACCGAAAGGAAAAAAGAAAAAGAAGAAAAAACGATCGGTCGGTCGCCGTTCGAAACGTCGTTCGAAACGATTTTCTACGTTTCTTCGCAACTTGTCCACGTGCCTCTTCGAACCCGGTTCGATTTTTAATTACCTTCGACGCGATCGATCGACGATCGACTACGATCGAACGACAGGCCATCGTTCGATGGATAATGAGGAAGTCTCCGCGGCAGTGCCCGCTACTGGCCGCTGATATAGCGTGTGTTTTTCTGTAGGATCCCTAGGAAACAATAAATAAAATCTATCTATTCTCATTTATCTAGCGCGAGACGACGTCCGTGAGCTTTGATTCAGTGGTCGATCTGTGTCCGTCGCTCTCCTCGTTGGCGACGATCGCTTCGGACCTCTACACTCCATCATTCTTCTCTTGTTCTCTTCAATCATCACTTGTTTCGTGCATCGTCGCGTTCACTGGATCGAGAATTTTTTTTTTTTTTTTTTTTGAGAGCGAGAAGATCGAAGAATAGTACGTAGAAAGTAATCCGGGCTGTGTTTAGGACTTTGCCAGTGTCTGAGATCGGGAAGATGATTTGGATTGCGCCGATTACGTTACGTTTGGTGACGTTTTAAAATAGTAATGCGCGAATCATAATGGACAGAAGGAGTAAAAGAAACCTTGTAATTTCTATTTGTCGATGGATCTTGAATGATCCACTTTAAAACTTCAACAGTCGTAACAAAAAGAAAGAAAATCAATAATCAAAGAATAATGCTAATGAAAGGAATCTCAAACAACGATGGGAAGAATTGGGCGCTTTAATGTAGCATACCCAACAGTGAACGCGTAGTCTGCCATCTTGAACGCTGGAACCATCAACCCAGCTGCCTCGCAAATAACTCTCAGTCATCGGTTCGGTATATCCCGGCCTGGATCGGTTCTCCGTTACAAAACTATCGTTATCATCTCCAATTCCCTCGCATCGCATCGGTCGCGTCGAAGTAGCTTAATTGATTAATTACGCGATACATCGAAAAAAGGTACTATGTTTTATATATACAGCAGTAGTAATTGATTACTGATTAAATAAGTGGCATATTTATACTAAACATTACGTTTATCACAACGATGATAAAATCAGCCGGAAGACCGAAACGAGGGCGCGTTCGATCTTTCCATTCGTCGCTCCGTTTTTCATCTGATCTCCACTCTCCCTGCAGTCGTCTTCCCCTTCCATCGTCCCCTCGGTCACCAGGGAAAGAAACAAGCAGAGGAATCGGCCCGGTTCGCCGATCAGCCTTCTCTTTTTATTTTTCTAATGCTTGGTGAACACGCGAATTGGAACAGGAACCTTCACGGAAATCGGATGGACCTCCCCTCCCCCTTCACGTTAGGGGCTTAATTTCACGAATTTCGATCATTCGCGAAAACCTGTCGTACTTGTCTTTGAGTCATAATTTACTAATATTATTTCGTTCAGCGTATCTCGTGATTTTTCGCTCGAGGACGTCGAGGACGTCGAGGAACGACTCGCAGTCTCGAACGGAGGAACACAGTCGGAACTGGCGACGGAACTGGCCGATCGAGCGCGATTACGTGAGCGGGGTGGACGAATTTTCGATTCCAGCGGCGTGGCCGAGGATTTCCGAATTGACTAGATTGGAGCACCTTGCGTTTGCACGAAAACTAACTGGAGAACCGGGATTGGAACCGGCGTTAGTGATCATCCCCCGATTGCCTCGAGGGATGCCATTACTGTCGCTGGCAAGATTCGCGAATGAAACGGTCGATTCGAATCACCTGGGTCCTGTTTCTTAAGTACTTTCGCTGAACGTGTCCGACAACCACCGAACCGCGCCGAGATCGGCCTGAAACGTTCGAAACTGACTGTGACAAAGGTTGTCGAAGCTGCGCGGGTGGCCAGATTCCGGTTCCTTAGAAGGTCTCACGTCCACGATATTGCACGTTTTCGTCTAACGACTGGATATACTCAGTCAAAATCGCGAGCCAAGTCTTCCGCTGACCTGCATCCGGTCGAAATCATCGACGATCGAAGTTTTGGCATCACAGTAGGGGATAATAGTCGCATCCGCGGAAGGAGATCGGTCACGAGCCGCTGGTCGATAAAACCGATAAGTCGCGATGAGCCTGTGGATCCTTCGAATGGGCGTCTCTGACCGCTCTGGAGCCAAATACCCGGTCACAGCCGGGTATCGTGCATCTGGCTTCCTCCTTTCGGTCCTCGGAACCCGGCGAGGACATTGGCGAACCCGAGCCAGATGGATGTCTAGTCCCCTGTTCCTGCGACATCCTGGTCAAGTGGTTGAGATGATGGTGAGTGAGCCCGTTCAGGCCAGCCAGGTGAGAGGCGAACGAAGACAGGCCTGAGAAGGTGGCTCCCAAATGAGGTGGCAGTAGAAGAGGATGCGGAGGCGGTATTCTAGCCGCAAGATCGACGGCAGACGGCAGTCCAGGCGTGAGAGGATAAGCTCCGAGAGCACCGATGCCCGCGTCCGCGTACAATCTCGCGAGGAACTCGTTGTGCAGTAACGGATTCATCTGAGCGTCGTCCACCCTAGGTGAGAGACTCGGTGGCAGGCTGGACGACAGAGGCGGACTCGACGACGTGGACAAGAGCTTCCGATGGAGATTCAAGTTGGCCGAATGTCTGTCGCGAGACCTCTTGGAGGGGAAGGCCGCGTTGCAACCGTCAACGCTGCAGCGGTGCATCAGTTTTAGGTGGACGTTCTGATAGTGGGTCTTGACCCCGAAATGGTTTTGGAACACCTTGCCACAGGCTGTGCATCGGCGTGGATTCTCCCGGTCCAGGGGGATCTCCTGGGTGCTGACGAAGCCACCGTTCTCGTAACGGGCATAGGTGATAAGGCTATTGTCCGTATCCATGGCCGCTGTGGAGGGTGAGGCGCTGGATGAACGAGAGCCATGTGAGGAATTGTCCATGGTGATCTCCTGGTGCGTCGTGAGGCTGACGGGGCTGGTAGAGCCGCGGCCAGACCTCGAAGCCGCCTGCTGCATCCCGGTGTACTGCATCGCGCGACCCTGCGACAAGGACTCGAGTTGACGCAAAGTGTTGGTCGAGGAGTCGTGGGAGAGGTCGTCGGCTGTCGTCGGACGGCTGTCGACCGAGCTCGGGGCACGGGAGGGATCATCGGGACGCTCACCTTCTTGATTACGCAGCGCCGCGTTCACCTCCTCATCATCATCATCCTCCTCGACCTCCTCCATCGGCTCATCCTCCTCATCATCATCTTCCTCCTGGTTCTCTTCTTCCTTCCCCTTCTCCTCTGGTTCCTTTTCCCTCTTTAACGACCCTCTCGTCGTCTTTTCATCCTCTTTAGTCGCCTCCTCGCTCTCGCTTTTCCGTCGATCGGCCAACTCGGCGCAATTTGGATCCTTTTGGCCGATCGAGACCAACTCGGAGCCAGCTTCCGCCGTGGAACGAGCTTCCGTCGGTTCGTGGGTCGTCTTTGGCTCTGGACTGATCTGCCTCTTCGGCGACTTGACACTGCTCGCTCTTGAGCTCAGATCCCGTGGCTCGTCCTGAGGTAGATCCTCCGCGTTCTCCTGTGACGACACCGTGTCGCGTTTCACGCCGCTCGCTTGCGTCCCGTCTCTGGCGTTGCACGCCTCAGGCGAGCGAGAGCTCGAATCCTGATCGTTGAAGTTCAGATTCTTCGGAGAACTTGGCGAGGCTTTTCGCTCCTCTGCCTCCAGTCTGGACATCGACATGTCTTCCGGTTGGCTTTGAAAGTCGTTCATCGACGAGATTCCCGCTCCCTCCGACAGGCAACGTCTTTGCACTCGTTCCTCGTCGTTGGACGAGTCTCCATCCGTAGACGAGGAGTGTACCTCGGTTAAAACAGCACATCGGGTGGGATGTTGAGACTTTCTCTTCCGTACGCCTCTGCTGTGCAAAGACGTCGAGTTGATCGAGTGCTGGCTGCTCACGGAGTAACTCTGCTGGTCGATCGTGCCCATCGAGTCGTTGTCTTCGTTGCTGTCGGCGTTGCTCGCGAGATCCTCGTCCACCGGATCGCCGAAATACAATTTTGGTCTCTTCGCCAAACTGAAATCGGCTGGCTGCTCGTCGTCGTCCTCCCCGGAACGCAAAGGCAGCCTGGAGGGTAGGTTACTCGCGTCGTCTTCCGCCACGACTACGATACCTCCGTCGTCGTCGTCTTCCTCTTCTTCCCCTTCAGCAGCCGCGGTGGAGGCCTGAGTGGATGGTGACACCGTGTCGGCCACGCTGTTGCTAGAGAAAGATCCTCTAGCCACAGCCGAGGAGGTATTGAGCGTCTCCGCGGCGGTCGTCATCGCTACGCTCGCGGTCGTCAGCGCGTTGGTCGTTGAGATTCCCGCGTTCGCGTTGCTCATCCTCTGTTGAAGGGCCTCGTCGTAGCCTGCCGGTCTACCCTGGTTCTGAGATTGTAAGTCCAGATGCTTGAAGTCGAGGCCGCAGAGCGACGCTGGCGATCGAAGATCGGGTGGTGGGGTTAGCAACGGAAACGAGCCGAAGGGAAGATGATTGAGACCGGTAGCTGGGACAGGCAGACCTACTTGGGGTGGTAGGACGAGCGCGTGCGCCATTGACGAGCGGCCATCATGCGGCGAGATCTTCCGTCGCAGATGAGGCGAGTGCAGCTTGGGATTCGGGTTGGCGCTGTGTCTGTTGCGTGACCGCCTCGAGCTGAACATCATGCTGCATCCCTTCACGGTACATTGGTGCATCTCGCGTAGGTGGACAGCGCTGAAGTGAATCTTGAGCGCGCCCTTGTCGCAGAAGGTTTTCAAACAAACGTTGCACTGCACCCTTTTCTTGCCGGTGGTGGGATTGATGAAAGGAGTACCGAGATTCGGCGGGATATTGGCGGACGCGCCCCATTGGCTGCCAGGTCGTTTGCCCGGCGAGTGAGGCTTTCTTCCGGGGATTCCCGGTGGCCTGCCCAGGGGAGCAGCTTGAAGAGGTAGCGGAGGATGGTGTCGCTGATCGGCGATGTGCTTTGACGCGGAGTCGCGCCTACTGAGATTCAATGCGCTGTCCGAATTCTCGTCGTCTTCCTCGTCTTCCTCCGAGCCGAATTCGCTGCTCTTCTCGCCTCCACTGTGCACGTCCGCCGGCGCCGTAATACCTGGTACCGAGCCTGACGACTTGCCCATCGGTGGCGGTGGGAAATGAGCGGGGAAACTGGGCGGCAAAGCACCAGAGGACACCGCCACCGAGAGAGGATGGCCGAAGTTGAGCGCGGAGGAAGACACCGGCGCCACGGGTGGCATGTGAGGCCTTTGAAGCTGATTGCTGCTCGAGTGGTGAGGCGGACTGTGCGGACTTTGCGGATTTCTCATGGATTTTCTACTCTGCAGCAGCTGCTCGGCCGATGGTGGCGGTGGTGGTAGCGGCGGGAACGCGGGTAGTCCTAAGGTTCCTAGCTTGCGGAAGTCGAACGGTTGCATGCTCTGCAGTCGATTGAGCGGCGACACCGTCAGGTGAGAGTCTAGGCTTCTTGGCGGCGAGTTGGCATTGCTCGTCACCCCAGTGTTGCCGCTGGACGAAGAGGAATAGTGTTTCTGGGCCGTTGGTGACATCGACGGATGCGAGACGGAGGGTGGCGGCGGCGGCGGCGGCAAAGGAGGCGGCAACCTCGAGCCTGGAGGCGGGAGACCGCAATGGAGCAGGTGTAACGGCGGTGGTAAGTGTGCTAGTGGCATCGTCGGCGGCGAAGGTCGTCTGCTTGGTGACATAGCATCCGTCCCCGGCGTTCCGGCGGCCAGCAGCAACTGCTGCACGAACGGACGCGTCTCGACGAATCTGAGGAACTGCTGCAGTACCAGCGGCTCCTCTTCAGGAGAACAGATGCTCCATCGGTCCAGCACCGGGCCGTTCTGCGAATCCTGTAAAACGAAAAAGATTCATCTTTTTGTTATTTATTTTTTATGTTACTTTAATCCGTCTGTGCAGTGTATTGAATCCTTTTTTGCTTAAAAATATATAATATTATGTTTTAAGATATTTCTATTTTGTCAAAAGTATAAATTTCATAATTATGTTTCGTCTTTATCCAACTAAACAATATTAGCATGTTCTACGATTAAAAATAAGAAAAAAAGAAGAAAAATTACGAATCATTCGTTTTTCATTTAATTCTGCTTGGAAATGTTGATAATGTTTTATTGTATTGTCGAACAATTATCGTTCACATGTTACTGATACCGATAGGCATTAATTAATTATAGGTTAATTGAATAAATTTATAATTTTTGTATTTCTATTATAAGTTTTTAAAAGAGCATTCACGATCCTGTGTTTATATAATTATTTTTAATTATAGAACATGTTGATATCGTTTGATAAAATAAAGATGAAACATACATCTGAACATACATCTCAACTATTTAAAGCTACAAAAATTATTATTAAACCTGTCTAATTATTACTAATCTAATTTAAATACATGAACTAAATCATCGACACCAGGCGTTGAAAAGTTAGTATTGACCGAAATATGTATAATATAATATCGGATATGTATTAGAATCGAATAATTTCGAATTCAACCATTGTGTTTTGCCTACGATTGAAAGGTATCGTCGGAGGATTAATAAATTACATACTATCAAGTATCATATTACATGTTTTTCATTTGCTATTTATAAAACGTTGCATAAATCTGTAAATGTAGCATGAGAGATCAATCGTAATAATTTATGATTACAAAATACATAGAAGTAGGTACAGTTTTACAAGCGTGCAATTAAGTTCGAGTTCAACGTAAAAAAAATGTTGGTAAAAAATTACATCTTATGGTAACGCGTGACAATTATTCCGGAACTGAGTCTTGAATCTACAAACGTCGTATAACGTATTAGAGATTAGGCATTATGCGCCGCACGCAAAGTGGCGGAAGTCGTTTCGCTTCCTCTTGCAATTCCGCGTTTTACGGCCGATATCGTGTTTGCAGAAAAGTAGTATCAAACACGCGTCCGCGAGAACTTTTGCGAAAACTCTCTTCGCAATACGTCATAGAATAATTATGGTATTTAGAAATAATACCGTTTTAACATTATATTAAAAAAAAAGTCACCTCTTAGCTTATTTCGTGATATTTAATATTCTTTTTATTCGTCGTGATTAGTGGTGGTTTCGTTCGTAGTTAAATTTCAAACTCCGGATCACTCGTTGAAAAAACAAATCGGTACGCGACCATAAATTCAGAGTAAACTGTCAACTGTGACGTCAACTGTCGAGAAAGAAAAACGTGAAATCCGCAAAAACGCTTGTGTGTCATGGTCGAGTGTCAACGAAGCGTTGCAAAAGTGTACGAGACATTGCGACCGTATTAATAAACTTCTGTAGCGATTTCCATATCTATGTATAATCGAACGATAGCTAATCAATTATCAACTCGTGTCGATACAAACGTTTTTCACTTATCCGCGTCGTACGATCAATTTCTTTTGATTATATTACTGTGTTACTTGACCGCGAATAGAAGAAGAAAAAGAAAAAAAAAAAGAAGCAAATCCGTTTCTACGGATGAAAAACCAGTCTTATAATAATTTCACGTCTGAATAAAAACGCTTCCTTTATTGATCGAGCGTTGAAAGCCGCGTAGGCAATGATCATGTGCACAGGCCGATTAATAAGAACGGATCGATGAAGTAATTTATTCTCTTCGACGCAATTAGTTCTAGGTGGATTGTCGTGGCAGAAGAACTAGAAATTGTCGACAATCGTTAACAGTTTAAAAGGCTGTTAATGTTGGGAGAGAGTGATGATGATTAGATCGCGACTGAAGATTGAAATTTTTAATTATAAAGCTAAGTTATGTTTACCAACTTTACAGATGATAAACGATTAATTACACATGCTGCAAATATTTATCAATGTATAGGACAACATGATATCTAATGCAATTATTAAAATTACCAAGTCACAGTTTTGAGCCTTGATGTGGATGGAATTAAAATTTCTAAATAGTAGCAATCCACAAAATAATATTAATTAATACTATTCACTACTATATTAATTATCAAAAAGATTTTAAAATAAAAAGAAACGATAAAGGATGCAACAGAAACAAAGCTATCTTTTTTGTTCTAAATTAAAATCTTCAAACTAAAAATTTTTGGCCTAATCGAAAGATGATATTTAGTTGCAAACTTTGTATTTACAATAAAATTCTCTTTCTTCATCTAGCGCCATATTCGAAAAGAGAGATAATTATGTGATATCCTCCAACTGGAAGAAAGTAGCATTACAAATGGAACGTATGTATTATCGAAGAGAGAATCATATTTAAATTCCTCGTTCGGTCATGGATAACGTGAAAAAGCGGCAGATAAAGGATGAAAAACCGAAGACAAAATCCTGTTAATTGAATCGTTAGTGCGATCCATCTAATAAATTATACATATCCGTTTTACACATGAAAAACCAAGTCGAAAGGAAGAAAAACTCTATCCGAAGAGAATTCTACAGCCGATGAGTGAGCAAGCAGAAATACAAGATTACGAGCTTTCTATTAGTAAATACAAAAGGAAATACTTTCGTATCATTAATTTCGTCGGGTCTATCTCCCATTTTAATACACGTTCGAAACCTCAACCAAGAATGATAATATATTAGTTCTCTCATTAGTATCTCGACAACCGTAAAGATATACTTAATTCAACGAAGAATTTCAAAGAAGAAATCGCTTTGAAAACAAATGAACGAACATGCACGTCTCTAGAAAGTAAGTAGTAATTTTCGTCATTTGGTATTCTTTTGCTTTTTTTGTATATACGATCATTGTCGGGCCAACGACATGCTTTTAGAACAGATTCGCAAAATGTGCAGCTAAAGTCGCCGGTTTCTCTTTCGTGATATACCTGTTCTTCTATAGAGTTCGATCGAAAAGTTTTCTTAATGATCGATTAACTGGCCGAGATTACATTCATCGAAAATTGAACGAGAAACAGTTTATTTTTCATCAAAGAACCTTTCAATTTTTCAGTTGGAATAAAGACAAGTGAATTCTTTCGCTATGTATATATATATATATATATATATATATATATATATATA